ATTATACTGTTTATCTGTAAAGATTGACTTGATGATATTTTGTAGTGATACTGAGTCATCGGATCAGAGGACCAAATCCTCTAAAAGATGCAGAAATCAATGTAAAGCTGGGTAAGGACAACGACGTAATAACCGGAGATATATAAATCCTGTCAAAGGTAAGTTTTTTTTTCCTTTTTTTTTCATAAACCTTAGCCTATCTATTAATTAGTTAGTCGACTTCTATTATACTAGATACACAATGTTCAACCAGAAATACAATCTCTTGACGTGTACAGTGTAACATGCATGCCTTGGATAATCTAATAATGGAGTATAATACATTTCAAAATAGATCAAAGTGTCAGATCTAACCACAAAGAAGATGGAACCTAGGGTGTACTCACAGTAGATGATCTGATCTGAGCTGTGCCCGAGCACGTTTGACCCCCAGAGCCCGGTTTGTTTGACTAGTGTGAGGCCATCCTTAAAAATATTAGATCCTACTAGATATCTAATAGATAATACTAGATATCAACAAAAGTGGATTTTCAGAGGAAACAAATAGATTACAATTACTTTAGAATTCACAAAATAACAGTTGTTAATAACAATGTAATACCTAGGAGTAAACATGTTAGGCCCTGTCCCATTTCTCCCCCCTTAAAACTTTCACTTGGTTTTGAGTGCCCTCGAAAGTAAAGTCCCCTCAACGAGGGAAGTGGAGTTGAAGATCTTTCCCTATGAAATGGGACACCACTATATGCAAATTAGCGCGGCAATCCTCAATACGTCACGCGCAGCGTCAAAGTGTCTGTCTACTACTTCTACTACTATTTTCATTCATAAAATTGCCGGTTCCAGTTGTTGTGTTGCCTGTTGTGTGGGCTGTTTTCGTTTATCTACATCTGATGAATCAACAGAGAAGACATGTGGAATATAGAAGACGCATTTCCGGTAATTTTGCCATATATTTGTTTGTATCTGATCGTTTAGAAGCGCACACAAAACCCAAAGTTTGCTTGTCTAACGTTAGTTGCAATCCGTTTCCGAACGCGCGCGCGCCGCCATGGGAACCGGGGCAACGTCTCTTGCGCGGATCATTGTGCTTTTAGTAGCTGTTTTTACCAACAACGTCCCGCAATTTAGAAACCGCAGACACTGCACTTTACAACAATCACCGATTGTGCTCAGTGCTGATTCTGACGTTAGGTTTGGGTTTAGAGAGAAATGACAGCGCGCTGTGAAGGGAAGATGATGCGCTAGACGAACGCGGCTAGTTTTGAATAATTTTACCTCACATATCTTCTTTTTATAATCCTTGGAAGCCAAAATCGAAAATAAAATTAGATTAACTAACTTACCCAGATCAGATGTATATTTAATTTGCTTTTGAAGCACTCGGCAGATATCATATGAACATCGTCAGATAGCTTCGTGAAATATTTTCTAACATTAGTGTTGAAAACTCAACAGTCCATTGGATGTGCATCAAACTAACATATTCCAACATATTTCGACATTTTAACATGCGTATTTGCGAAAATATACTTAAAATAAAATTGTTCCTTTCCAGCGGTGTCCGCCATCTTAGTTGAAAAATTTGACCGGCTCGCTGAGTTCGCAAGGTATCCTGGGTAATTTCATCTTCCACTTCGTTTTAAGCCTGCATCGGACCGCACTATGTTTTGAGGGTTGATTTTAATGGCAGAATAGCACTCCCCCTTGCTCTTTGGAGTATTGGGACACCCTACCCCTACACGAGAACGCGCAAAAACAAGGGTTAGGGCAGAAATCTAGGGTAAGGGGAGGTATTGGGACGCAGCCTTAATGTGTTACATTAACAAATGCATCTAAATTTAGTTTTTCACCGATGTCTAGGGGCTGTTTACACCTGCCCACTAAATGCGTTTTCTCAATAAAGGATAGCTATCTGATTTATCAAAACGATCCATTTACACCTGATCACATACATTTCTTTTTGCGGATATAAATCCGATCTTCAATTCCCGCGCTATATGCAGATTTAATGGAGTGCACGTTGCTTTCGGTGATGAGATGCATTTTATTGATCATCAGCTAAAATGTCAAAATCAAAGACTGCAATAGGAGAGAGAACGTAGCCTACGTTTGTATGTAGGCCTAGGCAATTTATATTCACAATACTTACTAAAATATAACTAATATTATTTTATTGCATTTGTATTAGTTGTTTGAAGAGTTTAAAAAAAATCGGTCTGTCTTAACGCAAGTTTACAACCGACAAGTCGGTTGGACTAAAAGGGAAAATAAATAAATAATTGGGTCGGTCCTAAATTGACAGGGTCGGTCGGGTTACGGCAAACAAGAATATTTTTAAGGATGGCCTGATTGCTTACACACCTATTCATCTAAATCAGTGGTTCTCAACCCTGTCCTGGCGTACCCCCAACACTACACTACACTACATGTGATAATGAGCTGATGAGTTTAATCAGGTGTGTTTGATTAGGGAGATAAGGAAAACGTGTAGTGTTGGGGG